GACGCGGTCCTTGCGCGGAGCCTTGACGCGGCGGTGCAGGAGCGGGAAGGACAGGTTGCTGGCGTGGTACTCCGCAATGCTAAGGCGCTTCACCTGGTGGTTCGGGATGCTTTTCACGCCCAGCACCTCAACGTTGCAGTACCGCGCACGGTGGCGGGAGGCGAGGTCGTGATACGCCTGGCTCACCGCCCCCGCCTTGCAAACGTCACGGAACTCCTTCACCATGTGCGTGTATCCGCAGCGCTGGCTGTAGTACGCAATGTCGACGCTGTAGTTGCGTGCCGCCAGCTTACGGTCCTTCACGACCTTGCAGGAGAGCACGTCACCGTGGGTCGACTTCACCTTGTTCTTATCCCGCATCATGCGCCAGAAGCGGCTCTTGGCGACGACGAAGTTCGGCGCAAAAACCTCATACTTGTAGACGGTCGGCTCGGGGTTCTTCTCCGACGGCGTCTCGCGGCCGACGACGCAGTAGTGACGAAGGTGCGGCTTCACCATCGCTGGACTTCTCCTCCACACTACACAGAGCAATCAACGGGGAATAATAAAAAAAAAAAAAAGGAAATAGGGCGAGAACAGTGAAAGTAAAGATAAAAATAGCGGACGCAACAATGAACAGTTAATGAGCCAAGAAAGGCAACAAATAATGATGGCGCTAATAAGGAGAGGAAACACGGCCGTGTAGAGCAATAAGGGTAACGCATGGCCACATCAATGTCTTTTATTTATTTCCCATTCTTTACCAGAATTACTGCACAGGGCCCCAGGATCAAGAGCCCGCTCACAAACAGGACTCTCGCACCGCGGGCACTCCTCACGTTTTTTGAACGGTTACTCCCCCCAGCCCACTTTTTCTTTTTCTAATTTGCATTCTTTGTATGTTCAAATACCTGCACGTGTTCTTCATGTTATTGCTGCGCGGATGTTTGTGTGTTTTCTTCCTTTTTTCTTCCCAAGTTGTGTGTCTGGGGCGTGGTGGTGTGGAACGACTGGGGAGTGACGTTTCCTCTTCCTCCCCTCTTCTCTCTCTTTCGCTTTGTATTTTAATTGCAATGCGGTTGTTTATATATATATATATATATATATATTAGCAGATTTGTTTCCGCCACTTTTTTTCTTTCTCTCTTCTTTTGGCCTCCAGCACCCCCACAATTTAGAAACGCATCAGCTTAGACCTCTTGATAAAGCGCAGGTCAACCTTCTGACCAAAGAGCTCGTGGATGCTTGACAGGCCGTACTTGATCATCGTTGGCCGCTCGAGCGACAGTCCCCACGCCATCACCGTCACATCCTCGTCAAAGCCCAGCGGCACCAGCATCTCGGGGCGGAAGAGGCCGCTGTTGCCTACCTCAATCCACCGCTTCAGCTGTTTGTGCCAGCCAAAGATTTCCATCGAAGGCTCCGTGTACGGGTTGAAGACAGGCTTGAAGCGTAGCTTCTCTACACCAATGCGGCTAAAAAAAAGCTGAAATGTGTGCATCATGTTCGACAGAGAGATGTTGCGGTCGATGACGCAGCCTTCAATCTGGTGAAACTCGCAAAGATGTGTGCGGTCCATCTCCTCGTTGCGGAAGACACGGTCAATGCTGTAGTAGCGACCAGGGCGGAAATCACGACGTCCGTCCGGCAGCAGTGGCGACGATTTCGCAATCTGGTGAAGCCAGAACCCGGAACAGCATGTTGTGTGCGTGCGTAGAACGTTGCGCTGTGCCTCCTCCACTTTCCAGGTGTACTTAAACTTTTTTTCATGCATGTCGCGCACGCAGTCAACAACCTCGTGGTGATTCAGCTCATGGGTTGCTGGTTTTGAGACGAAAAACGTGTCCTGCACATCACGGGCGGGGTGATTCTGTGCGATAAAGAGAGCATCAAAGTTCCAAAAAGACGACTCCACCCAGTGATCTGTTTCCATCTCTTGAAAACCAAGCTCCATAAATATCTCGCGGAACTCCTGGCGCACCTTCAGCAGCGGGTGCAGCTGGCCACAGCTCACCTCTCGACCCGCCGCGTCCATGTTATAATCCTTGAACTCGGTAGTCTTCCACGACCCATCCTGCAGCATTTCCTTCGTAAGATCCCCCACAGCCTTTGCCCGTCGTGTTGTCGCATAGTTTGGGCCCTTGGTTACACAAAAGATCTTCACGTTGTCGAGTGTCGCCAGCTTGCGCTTCTTGAGTGCCTCTGCGTCTTTCGGATCGACATGTTCGCCCTTCAACGCCTGAGTGAGGGAAACTCGTGTGCCGTCGTGAAAAGAGGAGACGGATGGGGAGCGCGCAACGACCATTTTGCCTTCGTTTTTAGTTAAAGCAAAGATCTTTGCCTTCATGCCATTCGCTAGCGCCACGGCAGTGGCTTCCTTTCCCAACTTCGCCGCAACGTCATCCTGAGGCATCGCACCCCCTGACAACATCTTCCAGAGGAGAAACTCGGGGCTGCCACTCTCGCATATCTTCATGGCCTCATTCGTCAGCTTCCACGTTGGCTTCGTTTTCATCTCGCTCACGACGTAGCCGTCCGACTCCAACGACTTGATGGCACCCACAACGTCTTGGTGGTTGGCTTGCAGCGTCTCCGCCAGCTGGTCAGACTCGACAGCATCTGTAGAAGCGAGGGACTGCAGAACAAAAGCCTCCACGGAGCTCATTATGCTCATGACCTATACTAACTTGGCAGCTACCCGTGCAGCAGAAACAAAAAGAACAAAGAGTAGAAAAAGCAAGAAATAATAATAATAAAAAGAAACAGAGAGAGAGAGAGAGAAAGAGGGCAATTACCCCCCATCACGCACGCCGAACGCCTCAAGCAGAAGAACAGACTTCCCCACTACATATATATATATATATATCTAACAGCTTCTGGTATCAACAAAAAAAAAATACGTTTATACACTTATGTATATATGCAGAACAGCCTGCGCCTCGGCTTTTCCTCTAATAGAAAAACGAAAAAGAAAAGAAAAGAGGAAAGGAAGCACAATGAGCACCCTTCCGTACAGTCAATAGCGACTGCATGTATATCATTATTCAAGCAATACCCAACAGTGATAGTGTCAAAGACGATCCCGCACTCTCTCCGACTATTAAGTAATAAAACAAAAGAGTGGGTGCTGTACGCACCACTGCCCAGTCCTCCCGTGTAGGTCAGGGCGGATTGGAGATGGGTGGGCCTCCAAAAAAAACGTAGCCTTCACGACGACCTTCACAGTGATGCATTGAAAAAGTAAGGTATTATTGGGTACATTTACCAGACACCTCTGGGACCAGAAGATTTCCCTCGCAACCTCGCAAGGTCTAAAACAAACAAACGAACAAAAACAATACACCCAAACTTCATACACACGCATATATAACGTACAGCAACAACAGTAAAAAAAAAAAAAAAAATAGATGATAAGATCAGCGCCACGCCGAGATGACCAATAAGTAAATAAACATAAATAAACATAAAACAAACAAACAAACAAACAAACAAAAACAAGTGGAAAGAACGGGAGAATCGTGTATGTCTGTGTGTGAGAAAGAGAGAGAGAAGGCAAGAAAAAAGAGCGAGAATAAAAAATATTCCCAGAATTCCCAGCCATAGTAGCTACAAGAAAGAGGTTGCACACTTAATAGTGGGCGCGTTAGTTCCACTTTGTGCTGTTGCTGCTCCATCCCCTTACTGTGTCTTTCAAAGGCATGCAGTCCGTCAGCGCAACATGTAAGAGAGCAACCGAACTCGCATCAAAACCACTCAAGCGGGTTAAAAGCATGCAGATGGTAAGAGAGCTGCTCCCTGGGTCACAATCAGGTGTGCGCCAAGGAGTTCAGCGTCATCAAGCACTTCTTTACGGAATACAATGCGGATGACCCCATCGGTCATAGCATTCTCCCACGCAGCCTTTGGACCGTCATGCTTAACAGTCACGGAGTCAAGCTCTGCCAAATCGATCTTGCGAATAAACGCACAAACTTCTATCAGTAGCTGGAGCAGCCCCCACTCGGCTGCAGGTGAAGCTACAAGAGCCGATGCAGCCATGTTTAATAATATTTTATCATCATCAAAAAGATGAAGATTGTCAGAAAGAGGCGCTGGTTGAGGGAAACGGCTCAGGTAAACCTTCATAGCCTTTGTTACGCGTGTTACAGGGCAACGCGCTGGCGACACCTGCCGCACCAACTCAAACGTATTCCACAAATTATATAGCAAAAGTCGCCAAAGCGACTCCAACGTCGTGTGGCGCAGGCTTGGAACAATACTCGGCCAGAACCCCACCCCACTAGATTGACCATTTGGTGCCAAAACGTCGCTCGCATAAAATCGCCGTGAGGCCAAAAAAAGGACATGCGAAAGGCAACTCTCATACGTCCCATCCTCGTGTTCCCCCCTGTGAGACACGGAGAACCAGGAGCAAGTATGCCTGTTTTCCTCCTGATGGAGCTGCTGCAACGGGGGCTGAGCCGTGCCATGGCCCTGAGATATTGTCTCCTGCAGCCATTTGGGCTCGAGCTCCAAATGTAGCAACAAGTTACCCTCGAAATTAAAGAAAAATTTCACCGCATGCGCGCACCAAAGACTCAAGGAATGCTTAGGCAAGTTTGGAAGTGGGCGTACACCCGTACCACTTCCAACTTCATCCGTCATTGCTGACAAGGATGAGACCTCTGGGGGAACAATGGCAGACTGAAGCAGTGCAAACACGTCCCACATCAGCGCCAGTGGCCATAACTGGGCTTCCAACGATGCATGCAGCACTGATGCAGCAGATGCACCGAAAACATTCTCGTCTACTCCGGTTGGCTCCACGCAGGGAGAAAGAGAAGGGGGAGGGGGAAAGAGCTTCCCAAAAGTTTGGTCACTTTCCCGTTGCTCGGTGACTAACAGTGCGTAATATTCCATGCAACCAAGCGGCATTTGAAGGCGCAACTCTTCCAAGGCCAGTAATAAATCCCTCGCCCGTCGGCATACAGTAACCTCAAAAGGGGGTACGCAATCACTGCGCAACAGGTTCATATCTGCTAAGTTTAGTAACAGCACATGGACACATTGTGCCGCGTATCTGGTCGGCAATAAACGGAGTGCGTCCCCCAGCCAGGAACAACACATTGAGGGTTTGACTGCAACAACAAAAATCCGAAATCCCTTGTTGTCTTTGTTTGACAACGCCAGACTTATTAAAAAAAAAAGTACGCAATAGAGTCACCAACTTCAAGCACAGAGTCTTTCCTGTGAGCACAAAACTGAGGACACCGTCGCTGCAACTCGGTTCCTTTCCTTGCGTGATACTCGTCGAGGTACAGACGTAGTAGGTCCCAGTAAATGAAAATACCAACAGTTCCATCGCATGCAAGGCCAGAAATACCACAAAAAGAGGCATGTACTCCTGTAACCTCCGGATCAACAATCTGGCGAAGGGCGTACGCAATAAGCTCATCAAATATCACCTCAGACGATGAACTCACCGCGTTGTGGCTCTCAGGGTGTTCATCGAGAAGCTTTCGGTAATAACAAGCAAGTGACAGAAAACCAAACCCAGGTCGTCGCATCCTAGAAAACACAGAACCATCATCTGCGACAGGAAGTGTCACGCTGGACACGAGTGGAATTGGGGCAAAGTGACCCACACGCCCCAACCTTCGTTGGGCGTAACGAGTAAGGAACATCAGGCGACTCAAATAAGTAGGTTCCACTATCGGTTTGTGCTGCACTACCCAATGCAATAAGTGGACTACATGACGATCCAAAAATTCACAAAACTGCAGTTCAGCCTCTGCCTCAAAAGTCATCGAATCACCATCTTGACGTGGAGTTGGTGGACTTGTCTTGTGGCACAAATACAGAAATACCTCCTCCCACCGCTGCGTTAGTGCCGGAAGTTCGTTGTTAAAGGCATCCATCCCCGTTTCATGTGAAACGCTAAACAATAAACCATGAGCCGCCTTTTGTGCTAACTTCGCCAACATGGTGATACGTTTTTGCACTAGAATGGAATGTGGGTCAAAACAACTCGCTTCTGGGAGTACACGGGAAACAGTATTTAGTAGGGATGGCACTACCGCTCGAAGAACCACAATCGTTGCCATAATATTTTGCTGCAAAGTGGACAATGCTTCCAAGTCACAGTCTCGGTGTCCAAGCAGCGCATGATCTTGGGAAGCCGCGTCAACAGCTTGCAATAAGCAACGCAACGCTTGTCGCAAGCTCCACGGCCATTGGCTCACAGAGGCGTAGACTACATTCAAAATGCGGCGTAACATTCCTACAATGGTCAACACGTAATTATCCTGATGATTGGCAGTGCCCCCGTCAGCGTCTGACAATAAGGTCGTCAATCCGTTAAAATAATCAAGCCCTTCAATAAGAAAACGAGGAGACACGACGTCACCACACCTCACTCTATCAGCGTCGGGTTCCGCAAGACTAACGTCACCCTTCGCCAAAGTGGGTACAACGCCGTCCGCACACAAAGCGTTACAACATTGCAGCAGCTGCTCCCCAATTCCACCCTCACTACTTACCACTCTGGCCAGAAGAGCGTCAAACACCTTAGGCACCACACCGTTTCCCCGCATAAAAGTATGAACATCGTTCCGTTTCCGCGAGGCACGATCAAACTCGAACAGAAGAAGCGTCGATAACGTTTGCGAGGCTTCTACAGGGGCAACCTCAGTTGCAACCCAAAGAACCTGCTCCAGAAGTTCAGCTAAATTGTCCTGCTCTTCCATCGGGACACCGTGTAAAATGCTACCAAGTAGTACTTTATCGTGCGCCAATGTCCTCAACATATCGGAAAAATTACACCAGTCATCCTTACACGGCGATGTAGACAAACCGCCAGAGGCCGTTTTCAACACGAAGCCACCGCCACTGCTACGGTATACCACCTCCTCGCTGCTTCGCAGGGCCGCGGGAGTGGCCAGGTTCATTCCTTCACTGACTCGAATAGAGTAGGGAATGGGGAGGGAGGCAAGAGAAATGTGCCCAGTCGTCGAATAAAAATAGGGAACTACGATTTATTCATCAACCACCCCTTTTGGTTGTGGTTCTTGTTTTTTTTTCCCCCTTTTGTGTTTTGCTTTCTATGGAGTACCAAATTGCAACACCAGAAGAAGACATCAATATATATATATATATATATATACACTTGACCGACAGATCCCTTGGCCTGGAACATATACATACGTACACCAAGTGAGAGGCATAGATAAAATGCTGCGCTGGGTAGAAGCAAATAAATATACCCTGCTGGATTCTGTTCCCGACCAACAGCGGAGAAACGCCGTGAGGGAGGAGAAAAGTATGGTCACCCTGTGGACAGTTTACAAAGCGGCACCTCGTCATAGTCGTCATCGAAAAACTCCTGTGCGGTGTACCTTGCGGTAGCTGTAATATCGGCACCGCGTTTTGTTTCTTTTACCAATGTAAACTCTACGTTATCGGCGAAAAGTTGTTCCCTCCTTGTCGCTGGCGGCAGTGGCACTTCGCCCTCCTGGAACACAGACACGGGCCGCAACCAGGGTGGAAGTTGACCACGTTTCACTACCTTCATGGTACTCTCCCTGCATTTCTCGGCGTCCAACTTTTGCTGATCCACACGTTTCACCCTTATAGCCGCTGCGTTACGGTGCACAAGACGAAACTGATCAAGCACCGTCGCCCTATGCTTCAATCGATGGTCGTATTCCTCCTTCGTCATCACCTCATCTTCATCCACCACAAACGGTGCATCGTTAACGCGTACAAATGGATGTGAAAAAAGCAGCTGAAAAAAAAGCCCCTGTTGCACAAGGAAAGGATCGCGTGCTAGCGGGTAGTCTGCAGCTTCACCAACAGACATTTTCGAGGAATCTCCTTGAGCCGCCTCCATCGCCCTGCAACTACTGTTGTTATTTTTGCTGGTTGTTGTTGTGGTGGTTGTGATGGTGGTGGGGCGCTGTTGTACGGGGCCAAAAGAAAGCAACGACTGGCCACTAGCCAGTTTCTCTTCATAGCGGGCATATATAGCGCGTAGCACACCGCCCAGTATATCTGTATGACAAAGTGGGCAACGTGAAATGGTCGATCGCAAGTCCTTCAGCGCCATCCAGTAGCGACACGAAACACAACAGAGACCTCGTCTAAAATCTGAGCGTCGAAGTGTTGCTGACACGTTCAGAGAAATGTGTTCGCCACTTATACTGTCGTTGGTCGCACACTGCGGACGAGGTAACTGGCAAAGCGCCAAAAGCATATGACTGCCATGGGCGAACGCAAACGGCAACAACGTGGCATAATTAATATAGTAGCGAAGTGTGTTCTCCTCTGTAGCCTCCTGACGGCTTCGTTTTTTACCGGTATTTTTTTCCTCATACTCCCCACTTGTAGCATTCTGACGGAGCTCAGCCGAGGTGCAGTACAACTCCTTTGGCATCCCTTCGATACCGATCTCCACACGGTCTGGTGAGAGTCCCAAGTACGCGCCAAGCTCACTCACCGTTGCCCCAGCTGCCTTAAACGTCAGGCACAAAGTATCTGCTACCAGGATAGAAAGCGGACTGTAGTGCCCCATCCGCATGTACAACTGCAGGATCAAAACAGCGCGCTGAGCGCCCGCGCCTGGCAGTGACGGCTGCCAAGGGTCCATCGCCAACAGCCCCCACCGCAGGAAGGTGGTATACACACACACACACACACACACACACACACACACACACACACACGCGTTTCTCTTCCCGCCTTTTTGTGCCACGCCTCTCAAAGAACAAAAGAACAGGACGTCGAGAAGGGCCTTAAAAAAAAAAAGCACATATGTAAAAGCTAAAACAAAACCGAAAGTGCTGACACCAACGCAAGAAAGAAAAACAAGCCAAAAGTGCACAACAAAACAACAACAAGGGAGTAAAAAACAACAACCAACAAAAACCATATACACCAAAAAAGGAAACAAATGTAATGTAATCACACGCCGCATCTACCCATTGTGTGCCATATGATTCACAGTTGTGGCCAGTCGGATCCCCCCTCAAACATCAGCAAGTAAACAGATGCATTAAAGAGAAAAAGAAAAAAAAAGTAGATAAATATCCCTTGTATTATGCAACATTATTTTATTTCCTGAGCAAAACCGCGGACTTTGCGAGGCCCACTCAAATAAAGCACCTCATTCTTCAATGGGTGGGTTCTCCGCAACAGCTTCCTTCAGCTCAACTGCAGGAACTTCGCCTTCCTCATCACCGTTGCTGCGAGGGCCTGGTGGGAAGTGAGAAAATGTCACACGTAGAAAGCGTTCCTTCAGCTGATGGGAGTGCACCACGATAAGAGCCTGTACTGCGGTTTCTATATCCCTCAAGCTAACAATGGCAACTGTTGAATTCTTACGGTAATAGCCATCAAGTTCAAATCCAGCCTTGGTGAACACCTCCTTGATATCCTCATCCGTAATGGCTTCAGTGAGGTTGGAAATAAACAAATTTTTTCCTGGGCGGACGCGCCCTGTAGGGTTAAAAGCTGCTGTAGGCTTTGTTCGATGATGGTACCCGCTTGAAAAAAGTACAGCGTGTGTAGCAGGGTCCGTTGCTGGGCCACTGTTCCACTCGGTCCTTCCACCACGTTCTACGTAACCAGCAAAATGCTTCAGTGAAAGGGTAGCACCATGAAATGGGCATCCCTGAAGATACTGAACAGCAAGACGAGCGTCGTAGACATTCTGAAAGTGTGCAACAACGGTACTCTTTGAACTGAATTGGCGCTTGAGTGAATTCACATTGCCGTATACTTCAAGGAGAACCCACAAATCATGAAGGGCAACCGTCTCTGGCATGTTGCTGACAATTACCACAGCATCCGTGGGAGGCTGGGCGTACGGGGCACCGGCGGCAGCGTATGGAGGATGTGCCATGTGTCCATTGACGGCATATGGGAGGCCGTAGCGCCCCATTCCACCACCACGCCCGCGTCCACGGCCACCCATCCCCCCTCTCGGCATTAGAGCACCAGGCATGGCCCCATAGTTTGCATGACCAAATGGCATCGGTTGCTGCGGCTGCAATGGTGATTGCTGAGGAGCTTGTTTCTTTGGATACGACATTGGGGAAGTAGCATACCCTCCCATCGTGGGAACACCAACACCGCCACGATCAAGTGTTAAAGACATAAAACAGCATTCGGGATAAATCGAATTCTTATTCAGCTGTTGCATCACCCGACGAGCTGTGGTGGCATCGGAATAATCAACCCAGCCTGTTGTGGTGGGGCCTGAAGGACCACAAATGACATTTAAAGGTGGAGCCACCATCCCAAAAACTTGTGTCAATATTTCCTTTGTCACGGGATAGGTACATTTTTCCACAACAACATTGATTCGTGTTGCACCAAGATGCGGGGTCATCATTGCTGGTGAGCCACCATTGCTGCCATAAGGTGCTGACTCTACCGTCACAGTTTGGCCAAAAAGATTGATACATCCTTGATGAAGAAGAGACCGAGCCTCTTGCGGAGTTCGCATTGTTACAGTTGCCTGACGCATATGAGGGGAAATCGCTGTGCTTATAGCTGTGCCATAGATGAGCAACGCACGGCGAAGGTCATCTTCCTGGCATTGAGGAGGTATATTTTTTAAGACCACAGACATCATTTCCGCGTACGTCTCTTCTTTTGAACGGTTATTTTATTAAAATCGTTTCTTATCTTTCAAACTCTTGTAATTCACCCTCTTTTTTGCACTTCTGTCAGATGCACTTTTTTCCTTGCCTCTTCTTACGTTGATCCCTCTCCGCTCGTCCTTTTGCGCAAGACCGGGCTTTCCAAATAAACGGCAGTTGATGTAACTTCTAAAGATGTGAGAAAACGCGTGAGCCCCAGATTCAGCTATCCTCACCTCCTCTTTCTTCTCAGTGTTACTTTTGTGCGTGTGTGTTTTTTTTTCTCTCTATTTTAGCGGCACAATAACTCTTCCCTCTCTCGTTACGTCTTCCCAGCTGTTGTTGTTAGTATTGCTGTTTTCACAGGCAACGGAAATGGCCTACTTGACGCAGCGAACGATGGGTCTGTTACTCTCCGCCCCAGTAGGTAAAGTCAGTCCCTTTCTTACTGTTACTGTTTAAATATTCTCTCCGTGGATCTCCTCCTTTTAAGAGGCTTTTGTTGTCGTTGTTTTTTTTTGTTTTATCCCGCTCCTTATTTCCTTTTCTTTTTTCCTGTTAACTCTTATAAAACCAAATCCTCTTTACTTCGCTCGTTTTCCTTGAGATCGCTTGTAAGTCCAAATTGTCCTTTTTTTTTTTGCTTCACAGTCAGCCACAAGACACCGTCCTCTTCGCTTCTTTCGCGGCTTTGATTCTCTGCGCGCCTGTGCGTGTGGTTGTGTAAAGTTCGCTGAAATACTGACACCAAGCGGCGAGAGGGCAGTGCGGCGCGTGACAACAGACACAGCGGGATGTCAAACAGAAAAAAAAAAAAGAAAAAAATCACGAAAAATATCAACGTAATGGCGATGACGTCGCTTTGGCGATGTCCCTGTTTGCATGCCCGCACACGGAGAGAAAGGACTGGGGCGTCGTTACGCCTTCCCATGAAGGGCAAACACACGCACCTGCGCACACAAACAGGGAGGGAGGAAAAGAGAAGGGGCACAATGGGAAAAACAGGAAAGACCTCACTGCGCTCGTGCCCCACGACCAAAAAAAATACAATCCCTTAGAATAATGATGAGGCGTGGGGCACACACGCACACACACAAAACTTCTGCAGTGTAGAGGTTGCAAAGTCAATAAGAGGAGAAAGAAAAGAGAATCGCACACCACAAACACGCCATTGCTTTTCTCTACACTTGTTGACGCTAACCAACGACGACCACACGCCAACAAGATAACTTATCTCTGCCTGCCTAACATTCGTGAAGGCGTGTTCGCACGCATTAAGAAATACGAGGAGAAACAGAAACACTGGAAAGAAGAACAAGAAAAGCGGCACCACATAAGTAATGAGAGAAGTGTGGGATCACACACGTCATCGACGGCTCTCAATGATAACATCATTAATGCCAATGCGTTGCAAATATGGGTGGGCACTACGGTTTAATGCAACTGGGAACGCCACGCAGCATCACATAGGGCGGTAAGCCATTTCCCACTGAGGCCCTCTCCAGTATCGCCAAAATCAAATGGCGGGCAAAGAAAAAAACAAGAGAAAAAATAAACAGGGATGTCAATATGAATGTGTCACACCGTGAATCTGCCGCTGGCCAAGTGTTGAGCGAAGCCACAAAGACCACCAACGAGAAAGTATTGTAGGACGCACGGTAAATTATTCATCAACACCAAATATAAGAAATAATTTAACCAAATGAAGCATAAAAATTCCATGATTAAAATGGTCACGCAACCAGACACCAGAGCAAACATTCGACTGAGCGAACCTCCCAATTTAAGTTCAAACAAAGGCAATCACTTTTACGTCATTGTGGAAATTAAGACTCAGGACCGTAGAAAACCTTCACATACACACACACATACAAACATCCACGCACAGTACATATACATATGCACACACCGCAATGAAGACTGGCGATGCACCTGCAGGAAGCATACAACGCCACAATAAAGAACAAAATGCAGCCACATTCATGACGGAACAATACGGACTAGAGCTATAAAACAAAATACAAAATACAAAGTTTTTTTTTAAAAAAAAACATCAAAAGAACGAGCTGTGGCTCGTCGCCTCGATACAAACGTTTTACGCATGCGTACGTTTTACTATATAATGTACTGTAAACGCATGTGATGCTGTGTAAGAAGACAACTCAAATACAGGTAGACCAGGAATACCTCCCTTCGCGCCGTGTTCCAGCTTCTGCCATTCCAATGAAATGTAACATTAGTCGGCTTCTGTCAGCCACTCCCTCCGCACGGGCGAGAAACCAAACGAGGAAACGAAAATGGTGGGGCAAAGGCACCCTTGACTTTCACGACAAGTGCAAAGTCAAATCATGAGATTAAGCGAAGTAGGAGGCAACAGCAGTCGCTCCAAAAAAAATGGAACGGCAAGGAGGCTCCCAACGGCATAAGGGAGAGGCAAGTTTAAAAAAAAAAGAGTTAAAGAAGAATAAAAGAAACATAAATAAATATCGCAGAACAAAGAAAACCAAAAAGACACGAACACACAGGAAGGGAAAAAAAACAATGACGCTGTTCAGAAGTAGCGCAAACAGAGAGGAGCAGAAATGCGGTCCCCGGCGGAAAGAAAGAAAGAAAGACAGTCCTTCACCTCACGCACATACGCATTCACCAGCACCACCACATATTTTTCTTTCTTTTTTGACTCCTTCTTACTCTTCATATAAGTTCCGCGCAGCGCTGCCCCCTTTTGATGGCTCGCGTCTACTTTTGATCTTTTATTCTTCCTTCTTTTTTTGTTCCGTTTCCGTTTTACCTGTTCATTAATTATCGTTCCCTTTTGTCCCCTTTTCGCACTCTCTTCTTCTGCGGGCTGTTCTCACTGGCTCTCATTGTCATTGCTATTATATATATATATATATATATATGTATATATGTATCCTCTACGTCTAGCTAAGATGCAAGGCGCTCTCGTTCTGACAGGTACAACATGCAAATGTAAACGCGGCTATGCGTGCCCTCTTTCCGGGGTGGGAGGGAACGAGAGGCTGAGCCACATTAACCCTGCATGTATACATCCCCTGATGTATATACAACTTTAATTTGACTTAACTCTTTGCCACGTTTTCCTCTACGTTCTGCTCATCGCGGTTGATGTTGTTTTCCTTGGGCCCTTCAATAAAGAGAACGTTTGATCGCTCCTCCCCACACACACCGTTGTGACACTTAACCAGCAGTGTCACGGCTGTAGCTGTGTCCGCCATGTAAACAGTAAAGGCCCCTTCATCGTCTTTGATGATACGATCAGGAAAAAAATTCTCACTTGTGAAGTAGGTCATTACATCCGCCTCCGAGTACCCGGCACATCCAGTGACCTTCAGCACGTTCGAAGGGTTACACTTACTACGCTGCCCAGGGCTACGGTGGCGTGCAGTTGTGAAGTCATACTGCAGGGTCGCGGCGTCCAACGGATCTCCGTCGTCAGTGCATGGTGTACGCTCATTATAAGTAGGAAAACGCTTTGCACTCACCGTGCCCCCCGCAAATGGCACCTTTCGCACGTGTTGAACAACATTATCAGCCTCCGGTATCGAGGCCATCTTCACCGTCAGAATGTCCTTCTTGTTGTGGTTGCGGCGCACAGTAACAACACCACCAAAGGTCTCAAGAAGCGTAAATATAGTCTGTAATGGCTCCGTCTCTGGCACCACAGTCACGCTTAGGAAGACGGTAGGAGTGTTCTGCATGGACTTTGGAGCCATGTAGTTCGTCATCATACCACCTGCCATAGGCATCATAGGTGGCATCATTTGGTAAGCCATTGGTGGGTATCCCATCATCATGGGATCGAATCCCATTGTTGCTCCGCCTCCTCTCGAGCCTCCAGCCCCCCCACGCCCACGTCCACGCCCTGCACGTGGCTGCTCATATGCTGCCCTTGGCTGTGGTAGCTGTGATAGCTGTGGTTGTGGAACATGGGGCATCTGTTGTGCTGCTTGTACCTGTTGCGGACGCGGTTGAACGTAAACGCTTGGTTGCGGCTGAATCTGTGGATACACCATATTGGGCTGCTGTTGAACGCCACCGTACGCTGCCGCAGGGGCGCCGTAAACTGCCGTCTGGGGTGCAGGCAGCACAGGTGCAGGTTCCCAGGTGGAGTAATTCATCACCATTTTGTTACCATCGTTAAATATATTGCGATTATTTAGGTTTTCCATCACACGCTGCGTCGCGTACATGTCAGAGAACTGGGCCATGACGACAGTTTCGTTGGGATTAGAAGAGGGAGCAATCTGTAGACGTTGAGGATTGGTAGAGATGCTACCAAACACACGATACATCATGTCCTCTGTGACAGGCTGGCGTATATCACTTATGCGGACACACAGGGTATCAGTGGCCGTGTTGCTTCCCATTAATGGCTGCTGCGTCCGCCCCCTGTAGTCAAAGTTTCCGCCTCGACCGCGCCCACCACCACGTCCCCCACGTACTCCATACCCAAGCTGCATGTTAATTACTTGCGAAAATGCACAAACAGGATTATTTCCTACAGAAATGCAATAATTTTCTGGTAATAAATAAAAGCAGATACGTGTAGTATATGCATGCGAGCATGCACAAAAACAATGAAGAAAAAAAAAAGAAATCAAATGAACTTAAGCACAAAATAAACAAAAACAAATAACTACGTTGCTGGTGTTGAGCCGACAAAAAACACCGCCAACGTGGCGGGGGTGGGAGGGAAGTAAGGGGGGGGTGGGAGGGAGGAGGAGGGGAAAAAAAAAAGAAGTAAAGAGATAACACATGGCTTCATTCCGCTTGGCTCCGCCCCGTTCTCGCGAAAGAAAACATACATAAAGCGGTCCAGGCGCAATTCGATCACATTGTGGTAAAGAGGAGCCGTGTCATGCGGCCGGTTAGCCTTGAAACAGTGAGACCCATACGTGACTAGAAATCACGACGCCAGACGCACAATATAGGAAGTCAATCAATTATCGCTAACTCCGTACAATGCCGGACTGGTAACCCGCGAACAACGCTGTAAGGGATGTACGATCACAGTAACAGGTGCTCCTCCCCGTTACACCCCTGCAGCAAACAAAAGACGAAGGGGCAGGAAGAAAAAAACCACTCACACAACAACAACAATAAGAATAAAATACGAATCAAGTTTCCTATCACCTCGTTTAACAAACGTAGAAGTTCCAACTCCCACAACAGCATGTGCATATCTGTTCCATTCAACGACAGATGCACACATACACGCACAGGACTAAATTATTCTACGGGTTTTAATTGATGCTATGCGTGAATGCCTCATGCACGGGGACAAAGCAAAAATATGCATAATGGAGTGAAAGAGCGAAGAAGAAAAAGTGCATAAAGGAACCAAGGAAACAACAAAAACAAAAACAAAATAGAAAAATGACACCTTTTCAACACTGTGAAGTGTCTCGCTCTCCACCCATGGAAACAACGCCGTAGTCAGAGTTCTCCCCCGTTGTGGGAGACAGTTGACAAGCCAAATATCGCGCTTGCAACCCCATCCGGTACTCCTCAAACTGGCTCGGTTCCACCCATGTCACCCAGTCAATCGTCTTCAGAAATTCAAGCTCTAAGCCGTTTAGTTCCACGGTACTGATGCCACCAAGGCTTGCATAGTAAGTGTTGGTGTAATAGGTATCATCCCTTAGCTTTGCACTCACCACTACCGCTGTTATCATCAGCCTATGAACATTACGAAACGTCAGTGGAGATTTAGTCGTAAATAAATACCGGTCCATGTAAATAAGACTCAATACAAAGCACTCTGGTGAGCAGCAAGAGTATTTGGCAATACGGCGAACGTAGTCAATCACAGATATCTGCGGAATCCGACTGCTGTGAAAAGGCGTATCGCACACACGCTCCAGGTGACGTTGCTGGCTGCAACGTTCCTGCAGAACCATCGCCGCCAGCTGCGTTAATTCGTGCATATTGTGAAGCTGTGAGAGGTCCTTCTTTGTCGACACATGCATGTGAGGGTCCGTTCCCCGTACACAGCTCTTCCTTGTTATTTCCTCTTCCGCCTGCAGGTGGCAAAAATAGACACGAAAGTGATATCTCTAGAGAATACACCGCCACAGCTTGTGGCAAATGTGTGACGGTGAGCCAACACGTATACAGCCAGAGACAAGAAGAAGCAAAGCAAAAGTATCCCGCCCTCGCAGAAGTTATTCACGCAAAGTAGCGGCGAAGAAAGGGAGGAGGGTGAAAAAAAAAAAAACTACCACGCCTCCGTCACTCCATCAATAGGAAGGCGTGCTAAAGTAGCGCTAAACACATGCACAGAGATGACAGAACATTCACGACTGCATGAGGCGACAGAGCACCCACCTTGGATCCTCACCCCATAAGAGAGGCAGTCGCCCAGTGCACCGACTTCATCCGTTACGGAGCCTCACAATGCAGACATAACCATATCTGCCATCCAGAACAACAAAAAAAAAAGCAACAGTAACACAAATCAAAAACGAACGCATAAGAAAACAACACACAGGGGAGTGTGTGCCCATCTCCGTTACATCGCATCATACTGCCAAAAGAATTATTACGCAAGGCAAAAAGCAGAAGCGGGGCAGGCTGATGCACACGCACACACATATACACAAATCAACTCCAGTATATAGGATAATACATGTCATCTGCGAAGAGCACAAATAACATTAATAGACCTCCATAGCGCTCATGGATCAAACCATAAAAAAAAAAAAAGACCAAACTAAAAATACATTAATAATAATAACAGCAAGACCATTCAAAAAAAAAAAAAACTGTTTTATCTCAATTGAAACAAAAACCAAATAAAAACACACTAAAACATATGAACGAAAAACAGAAAGATGAACGGATACACACATACAAGAAAAAAAGTACCGTAGATCCACAAAAAAAGCAATAGGACCCGTAGATTGCGGCACAGGAAGGTGCCGGCATATAGATATATTGCATACACACAAGCTCAACTACTGACGTGTACTTCACCTGAATTATACTAAATACATTGACATTACAAAAGAAACGAATAAGAGAAAAGAGCAGAGGTGGACGGTCGCATGGCAGGGTTGGGGTGGCAGCAGGAACGAACAAAATGAGCCACCTCAAAGTCGAGGAAATCTGGAATCTCGGGCTCCAGGTATCCACGGGCAAGACTCTGCACAAAGATGAGGTCACGGTTAAACAGAGCCTGCAGTGACGCCGCATCGCTCCCCCCCGGCGCAGTGCGGCTCCACCTCCACGGAAGACGCCCAAGCAGCATCTCTAGCAGTGAAATCCCCAGCGAAAAAATGTCTGACTGAGGCGTGCAACGACCCCCACTCGCCACCTCAGGAGCCATGTAGAGAGCCGTGCCACGCAGCATCACCTCGTCCACCATCGTTCGTGCCATGTCAGTTGCCTCGGAGATGGTGGAACCAAAGTCGGAAAGCTTGCACACACCATCCATCCCCAAAAGCATGTTGTGTGGCTTCACGTCGCAATGCACAATACCAAG